AGATTAAACGACCCTGGTGGCAGGAGCTCAAGGCCGTGGCGTGGGCGTGAGAACATTCTCCCTGGGCTCTCCCTGCTTCTGCCAGCTCTGGCCCATGTAAACACCGCGGTCTAGGTGGCTGTCGTGGACAGGAATCTCTGCTGGATGCACCAGACAAGTGTGGACTTGCTCCACGCTACGTCTACATTAGTCTACATTGATAAACGTTTAATTGGCCTGGCTAAACGGGATGACGAAATACGCAGCGTTTACAACGACAAATTATCGGTGGATTTTTTTTTTTACGTAGCCGTACCAAGGCTATTTTTTACGTAGGCGTACCAAGTTTATTTTTTTTACGTAGGCGTAATATAACAGAGATATTCGTATTTGTGTCATAACTTATAAGCCCTCTAATCAACTGTCAGTATTATTGTTGTTCATTCGGTTGCGCTTTTTTGGTCGGTCTTTTCTTAAATTTGATTTCTTAAATGTTAATTGGAAAACCTAATTATTTCCGTTGGTGGGGTTTTTTTTTCTTTTGTGCGTGTGTGTGTGTTTTTGTCAGAATTTTTCTTTGGATATTCAAATAACTTGTAGTATATAGGCTCAGTAATTGGGATATCTCCATTAAAGTAGTTAACAGCAAGAGAGAAGTGGACATCTGGTTTTACAATAGACAATGCAGTGTGTCCTCGCCTACTTCGCGGCTGTTCGTTTATCGCTGACTGTTTCCGGGTTGATCGAAATAGAATTTAAAATATTTATCGCCTACGTTTTATACATTAAATGTGTAGAATCGAGATGAGATGAGTGTTGCATGAGAAATTGCAAAATGTATTTAAAACATAATTCTAACATTAGTTATGTCCATAACTCGCTACGGGGGGGGGGGGGGCATATGTCCCCGGGCGCCGACTTTAGGGGGCGCCAAAATGGGTTGGAAAAATAAATTGCAATGTTGAGATGGGGGGTGCAAATCGAAAGCTTGAGGGGGGTTGCAAATCGAAAGTTTGTCCCCGGGCGCCGGGAAGGGTCGCTACGCCTCTGTAACTCGCACGAAGAGATCTGTCAGCGGATGTAGTAGAAGTTATGTCCGATGACTAATCTACTGTACCGCCTCATGCAGCTTGCCTTTAACTTGAGAAAAGACGTTATGAGGGTCTTTGCATTCATGTCATCATTGCTGCACAGCTGATGCATCACAGGCCGGGTGGGCCTGGTACTGAGCACCCCGCGATAAGTGAAGGAACGCTTAATGAATGATTTCACTAAATCTGTTTCTATGTTCTCTGTTTGGTTTGCAGTATTGTACCGATAGTTTTTGCTGGTGTTATCGTGACTTTTCTTCTTCGTTTTTAATTGTAATGTTGGACGAGATTTCCTCCACCAACACAAGGAATTATTACGTGTCAACATGGTTAGGTTTTAGCAAGACTACCAACGATAACTTGGTTAGGGCATTCGGAAATGGCGCATGTACTGAGAACTATAGGCATTTACACGTGTAAACTGGAGTTAAACAATGTTTGTTGCGACTTAAGTTCTGTGCAAAAAAGTGTGGGTATATATTATTTACTGTAAAGCCTAGTCTGTGCTGACCACTCATAAAAATATCTCAGCTTAATCTGACCCACTGACCACTAAAGATATTTGGTTTGACGCAGTGTTTCTTCCAGATCTTTAGACCAATATGTACTTGACTGATATCCAATGTGTACTTGACTGATATTCAATGTGTACTTGACGGATATACAATGTGTACTTGACTGATATTCAATGTGTACTTGACGGATATACAATGTGTACTAGACTCATATTCAATGTGTACTTGACTGATATACAATGTGTACTTGACTGATGTCCAATATGTACTTGACTGATATACAATGTGTACTTGACTTGTCGTAGTCGGCTGACAAGAGTGCTTCGGACAACAAATAACATATTAACATTTTTCGCACTCTTCCTGAATTTATTTTAATGTCATTCGGTTTGGGGTTTTTATTTTCTAATTTGAGAAACAAATATTACCACGCATCTATTTTTAACTCCACTTTAAGATTTTTACAACAAGTGAACTTGTGAGTTTTTTTGTACGAGCGCGGCCAACAGCCCCGTGTACGTGGGCGCCCACATTCACGCAGCTTTTAATTTCTCGGCGTGATTTCAAATAAGACCGGACTTGATCAAATGGCTGGAAATTTGATGTCTCGCCGGCGGCTTGAAATGAAAATAATCCAATCCCCCACAGAATACACTTGTCGTGGTTGAGAGTAGCTGCTATAACAGGGTATTACTGACACCAACGTTGCTTGGGTATTGCTGACACGGCTATTTGCTGTCATGTCGCAACTAATGGTTCAAAGAGAAAATGTGTTTTAATGTCTCTGTTTTCGCAGCAATTAATAGTTGGCGGGGATATCAAGTTCTCTCGCTTTTAGCTTGAATGTATGCTTATATATATATATATATATATATATATATATATATATATATATATATATATATATATATATATATATATATATATATATATATATATATATATATATATATATATATATATATATATATATATATATATATATATATATATATATATATATATATATATATATGGATATCCAGGGTGAGACAAACTGACGCAAAGAGAAACAGAAAGATGCATAGATAGATAGATACGTACATACATACATACATACATACATACATACATACATACATACATACATACATACATACATACATACATACATACATACATACATACATACATACATGAGATATAGATGGATAGATATGTGAATAAAACAGCCGCATCTTTTCTTAACAATATGTTTTGTTATTTTTTTTTACTGTAATCCTATCTGTACATATATTATCCGGCATGTTACTATTGTTAGCCCGTACTGTAATAAAGTGTTGAAGTGAACGTTCTCCCAACTCGGCTCTGTGGATAATGTAAGGACGGCGGTAATAGAGAGGGCCAGTGTTTCATTTGCTGGAGCGCTCCAGCGCTGTTGATTCTCCAAACACGGCTAGGCTCTCTTGACCGACTGACCTACTTATTGAAAATAGCCCTGACCCATTCCCGGCCATCAATCGCCTCCTTAAAACAGATATCTCGGAGGTATTAATTGAGGCCGCGGGTCGGGCGTTGCACGGGTCCTCTGGTGTGGGGCTCGATTCTTCCAGAATAGGCTTGAAAAGCTGGTTCCTAATGGCTGTTGCCAGATAGCATATTTTTCAACCATAATTAAAATCTAATTCTTTTATAACATTTGTGAAATACTTACAAAATTACTTCCGGTTTTACAAAGGCTAGAAATTTCAAGCAAATATAAATAATTACTAGTAATATTATAGTAATTTAGCTAACACTTTTATTTTTTATTTTGGATTAGTAGTGTTAGGGTGTTGTGGTGATTGGGATGTTATATTATTTAATCAAAATAAATAGGATATAACCCATTGGCCGCTATTGTGTATTTATTCATTGAAAACATTTGCTGTGATTTTCATTGTTTTACTTTTCCTGGCTACACTGATTGACTTCAATTAGGGGTTATGGGTTTTAAATTTTTTTTATATTTGGGAGAAGGGGGGGGGGGGAGAAAAAGAAAATGGCATCAAACAAAAGTAAAAACCAGAAAAAATACCACACAATAGGTATTTTTTTTAAAAAACTTAAATAGCTGCTAAATATTTTTATCCTCTGACATTTTCTAGTTGAGCACGAAATCGGAGCCACCACAGTTGATGCAACTTTGAAAGCACTTGGTCAACTTTCTTCTGGCTGGGTTTTCCCATTTCGTGCTTGCTCAATATTTCTTTCTCGTCTTATTATTTGAAGCATTATCACACGTCTCCGTGGTGTTGACAGTCATGTTAGATTTGAGAACCGCCGTGTTAGCAATCGTGTCGTACGTAGCTTTGACAGCCCCTTTGTTGGCGGTTGTCTTACTTTGTCAGATCTGTTTACAGTTGTCTTACTTTGTGAGGTCTGCTATGTCGACAGTTTACTTTGTGAGATCTACTGTGTTTACAATCATATCTGATATTTTAAAGGGTCTCTGTATTGACCATTGTACCATATATTTTTAAGGGCCGCTTTATTGACCATTGTATCTCATATTTTTAGGGCCGCTTTATTGACCATTGTATCATATATTTCGAGAACCAGCGAACCGGATACCGCCATATATTATTCTCTAATGAATTTTGTTTTGTGTACATACTGCAGCGTTTCTCGAGCTGGTTACCATGGCATCCATAGAATCCGCCGTTGACTGGACGGGGCAGTGATTTAGTGTATTGATGTTAGCGTTGTTTGCTGGTGGAAGAAAAATGGAGGTTTTTGTAACCAGATATTTTGTAAGCCTTGTCATTTTAGTTAAAGTCAGCATTTCTCAATCGTATTTTCCCCCCTCTTTTACTTCTTCAAAATGTAGTAATCGATCAAGTTTATTGAAGACTGTCTTTATTCTTAATCCAAGTTCTAATTGTTCCAATTGAAATGTGTAAATTAGCTGCATTCCCCCTAGACATGTAGGGCCTATAATTTATCTTTCATGCTTGTATATGTTCTACTGCTAATGGTTTCTACACTATGAACGTTTATATAATTTTTATCTAATTTGTTCCAGTAGTGTTTTCAACTTTAAAAATTCGTGAACTATTAGGTAGACGGTGGGTTTCTCTAGCAAGACCTGACGTTGAAAAATATTTATTACAACATCATACCCTATTAAAATTAGATCTACTGTATTTTCTAATGCATTGAAGATAAATTATACTCGAGAAGGGCCAATAATGATAGTTAGGGGTTAAGTTACATAAACGTATTAAGTATTCTATTAATTCATTTCAGTTAGCATTGTGGGGAAAAGATATCACCTCATTTATGCGGCACATCTGTGAATATGCGCGCGTAGAGTTGTATGTCTCCTATATGTACTGGGCGTCTATAAATTGTTGTAGCTGATCAGTTTTTGTCAACACCTTTTTTCCACCCTCAGAGTGAGCAGTGTTAGCACATTCCCACGTTGTGTATGAGCTCTAGTGTTCAAGTTGTCCACAAGAAAGCCCCAAGTACCACCAGCCCGCGTGAAGGTATCTAATTTCAACATTTGTTTTACGCTATAAACGACACATGACATTGAGCATTCAAAACATGTTTCTCCTATACATACTTATACATCATGGTTGAAGGTACTTAAGTTTATTGTACTGTATCAACCAGTTAAAAAAGTTTCATGACTTGTCCGTTTTCTTAACATGACTTTAGCTCCATTAATACAAACAGTTACATTTGAAGTTCTGCTATATAAAAATGTAGTGTACACTAATTTTGTGCTGCACTTCAGTTCCCCCTTACATGCAAGATCATCTCACCTTCCTAGAAGGTATTGTTAGTTCCCAAACAACAGCAGTTATTGTTATAGTTCCCTAACACCAGCAGCCATTGTTATAGTTCCTTAACACCAGCATACATTGTTATAGTTCCCTATCAAAAGCAGCCATTGTTATAGTTCCCTAACACCAACAGATATTGTTATAGTTCCCTATCAAATGCAGCCATTGTTATAGTTCCCTAACACCAACAGATATTGTTATAGTTTCCTAACACAAACAGACAATGTTATAGTTCCCTAACACCAGCAATGTTATAGTTCCCTAACACCAGCAGCCATTGTTATAGTTCCCTAACACCAGCAGACAATGTTATAGTTCCCTAACACAAACAGACAATGTTATAGTTCCCTAACACCAGCAGCCATTGTTATAGTTCCCTAACACCAAAAGACATTGTTATAGTTCCCTATCACTATTCATCTAATCAAGTTGAAGTATTTCCTTCCGCTGTTTGCCCGCTATTCTTCTCCTATCTGACAATGCTCTTCAAAAATATCCTCAACTCTTAACTATTCCAAGGCCGTCTTAAGACACGATTTATACATTTCTATTTATACATTGTGATGTTTACTATTTCCTTCGTCCCATCTCCTAAGTGCATCTGCCTACTGTGTAAAATATGTGGATAGTAGATAGATAGATAGATAGATAGATAGAGAGAGAGATAGATAGATAGATAGATAGATAGATAGATAGATAGATAGATAGATAGATAGATAGATAGATAGATAGATAGATAGATAGATAGATAGATAGATAGATAGATAGATAGATAGATGCTATGTATAATTTATCTTGGTGATCAGATACCCCTGCCCCTCCCCTAACCTCTACCAGCACTTACGAGATGCATGTGGAATGCACAACATATTAAACCGCACTGCCTGTGAGAGTGCACAACATATACCGCCTGTGAGAGTGCACAACATATACCACCTGTGAGAGTGCACAACATATTAAACCGCACCGCCTGTGAGAGTGCACAACATATACCGCCTGTGAGAGTGCACAACATATACCACCTGTGAGAGTGCACAACATATTATACCATACTGCCTGTGAGAGTGCACAACATATTATATCATACTGCCTGTGAGAGTGCACAACATATACCGCCTGTGAGAGTGCACAACATATACCGCCTGTGAGAGTGCACAATATATTAAACCACACCGCCTGTGAGAGTGCACAACATATTAAACCACACCGCCTGTGAGAGTGCACAACATATACCGCCTGTGAGAGTGCACAACATATACCGCCTGTGAGAGTGCACAACATTAAACCACACCGCCTGTGAGAGTGCACAACATATTAAACCACACCGCCTGTTAGAGTGCACAACATATTAAACCGCACCGCCTGTGAGAGTGCACAACATATACCGCCTGTGAGAGTGCACAACATATACCACCTGTGAGAGTGCACAACATATTATACCATACTGCCTGTGAGAGTGCACAACATATTATATCATACTGCCTGTGAGAGTGCACAACATATACCGCCTGTGAGAGTGCACAACATATACCGCCTGTGAGAGTGCACAATATATTAAACCACACCGCCAGTGAGAGTGCACAACATATTAAACCACACCGCCTGTGAGAGTGCACAACATATACCACCTGTGAGAGTGCACAACATATTAAACCACACCGCCTGTGAGAGTGCACAACATACCGCCTGTGAGAGTGCACAACATATACCGCCTGTGAGAGTGCACAACATATACCGCCTGTGAGAGTGCACAACATATACCGCCTGTGAGAGTGCACAACATATACCGCCTGTGAGAGTGCACAACATATTAAACCACACCGCCTGTGAGAGTGCACAATATATTAAACCACACCGCCTGTGAGAGTGCACAACATATTAAACCACACCGCCTGTGAGAGTGCACAACATATACCACCTGTGAGAGTGCACAACGTATTAAACCACACCGTCCGTGAGAGTGCACAACATACCGCCTGTGAGAGTGCACAACATATACCGCCTGTGAGAGTGCACAACATATACCGCCTGTGAGAGTGCACAACATATACCGCCTGTGAGAGTGCACAACATATACCGCCTGTGAGAGTGCACAACATATACCGCCTGTGAGAGTGCACAACATTAAACCACACCGCCTGTGAGAGTGCACAACATATACCGCCTGTGAGAGGGCACAACATATACCGCCTGTGAGAGTGCACAACATATTAAACCACACAGCCTGTGAGAGTGCACAACATATACCGCCTTCGAGAGTGCACAACATATACCGCCTGTGAGAGTGCACAACATACACCGCCTGTGAGAGTGCACAACATATACAGCCTGTGAGAGTGCACAACATATACCGCCTGTGAGAGTGCACAACATATACCGCCTGTGAGAGTGCACAACATACACCGCCTGTGAGAGTGTACAACATATACCGCCTGTGAGAGTGCACAACATATTAAACCATACCGCCTGTGAGAGTGCACAACATATTAAACCACACCGCCTGTGAGAGTGCACAACATATACCGCCTGTGAGAGTGCACAACATATACAGCCTGTGAGAGTGCACAACATATACCACCTGTGATAGTGCACAACATATACCGCCTGTGAGAGTGCACAACATATACCGCCTGTGAGAGTGCACAACATATACCGCCTGTGAGAGTGCACAACATATACCGCCTGTGAGAGTGCACAACATATACCGCCTGTGAGAGTGCACAACATATACCGCCTGTGAGAGTGCACAACATATTAAACCACACCGCCTGTGAGAGTGCACAATATATTAAACCACACCGCCTGTGAGAGTGCACAACATATTAAACCACACCGCCTGTGAGAGTGCACAACATATACCACCTGTGAGAGTGCACAACGTATTAAACCACACCGTCCGGGAGAGTGCACAACATACCGCCTGTGAGAGTGCACAACATATACCGCCTGTGAGAGTGCACAACATATACCGCCTGTGAGAGTGCACAACATATACCGCCTGTGAGAGTGCACAACATATACCGCCTGTGAGAGTGCACAACATTAAACCACACCGCCTGTGAGAGTGCACAACATATACCGCCTGTGAGAGGGCACAACATATACTGCCTGTGAGAGTGCACAACATATTAAACCACACCGCCTGTGAGAGTGCACAACATATACCGCCTTTGAGAGTGCACAACATATACCGCCTGTAAGAGTGCACAACATACACCGCCTGTGAGAGTGCACAACATATACAGCCTGTTAGAGTGCACAACATATACCGCCTGTGAGAGTGCACAACATATACCGCCTGTGAGAGTGCACAACATATACCGCCTGTGAGAGTGCACAACATACACCGCCTGTGAGAGTGCACAACATATACCGCCTGTGAGAGTGCACAACATATTAAACCATACCGCCTGTGAGAGTGCACAACATATTAAACCACACCGCCTGTGAGAGTGCACAACATATACCGCCTGTGAGAGTGCACAACATATACCGCCTGTGAGAGTGCACAACATATACAGCCTGTGAGAGTGCACAACATATACCGCCTGTGAGAGTGCACAACATATACCGCCTGTGAGAGTGCACAACATATACCGCCTGTGAGAGTGCACAACATATACCGCCTGTGAGAGTGCACAACATATACCGCCTGTGAGAGTGCACAACATATACCGCCTGTGAGAGTGCACAACATATTAAACCACACCGCCTGTGAGAGTGCACAACATATACCACCTGTGAGAGTGCACAACATATTAAACCACACCGTCCGTGAGAGTGCACAACATACCGCCTGTGAGAGTGCACAACATATACCGCCTGTGAGAGTGCACAACATATACCGCCTGTGAGAGTGCACAACATATACCGCCTGTGAGAGTGCACAACATTAAACCACACCGCCTGTGAGAGTGCACAACATATACCGCCTGTGAGAGGGCACAACATATACCGCCTGTGAGAGTGCACAACATATTAAACCACACCGCCTGTGAGAGTGCACAACATATACCGCCTTCGAGAGTGCACAACATATACCGCCTGTGAGAGTGCACAACATACACCGCCTGTGAGAGTGCACAACATATACAGCCTGTGAGAGTGCACAACATATACCGCCTGTGAGAGTGCACAACATATACCGCCTGTGAGAGTGCACAACATATACCGCCTGTGAGAGTGCACAACATACACCGCCTGTGAGAGTGCACAACATATACCGCCTGTGAGAGTGCACAACATATTAAACCATACCGCCTGTGAGAGTGCACAACATATACCGCCTGTGAGAGTGCACAACATATACTGCCTGTGAGAGTGCACAACATATACTGCCTGTGAGAGTGCACAACATATACCGCCTTCGAGAGTGCACAACATATACTGCCTGAGAGAGTGCACAACATATTAAACCATTCCGCCTGTGAGAGTGCACAACATATTAAACCATACCGCCTGTGAGAGTGCACAACATATTAAACCATATCACCTGTGAGAGTGCACAACATATTAAACCATACCGCCTGTTAGAGTGCACAACATATACCACCTGTGAGAGTGCACAACATATACCGCCTGTGAGAGTGCACAACATATACCGCCTGTGAGTGCACAACATATACCGCCTGTGAGAGTGCACAACATATACCGCCTGTGAGAGTGTACAACATATTAAACCATACCGCCTGTGAGAG